AACTATTTTAGAGACAGCAGTGTAATTCCAAATCATTTATTTAAATATTTACCACATTGACTGTTTAAATTGTACAGTCATGACCTTGTATAGAAATTAAGACTTAAAAAGAATAGTCCAAACATAAGGTGATTCTTGACATTAATAAAAGATTATTTTTCACTTTATAAAATAGTACAGTAACAAGGTGTAGCTAAAATTCCTTCTGGGGGAAAGGCGTAAACAACGTCTGCCCCTTCCTCCCTTGGCCCCTATGACAAACTTATTTTCCCAGAGTATAGTCAGGGAAACCAGTGAGTTTATTGGGCTCACTTACAGAGCAATGAGTGAGGGTTTATTTACAGGAGTGTCGGTGCTCCCCTCCTAAGTTCACACTGGAGAATCTCCATCCAAGCGTGGATGATGACTTCCCCACAGCTGCACAAAACGATGAGAGAGTCTCCCCCAGCTTCCTCAGTTTATGTACCCTTAGCCCCTCCCCCTCATGAAACTAGGGCCCCACTGGTTGGTTGGGAGGTGAGGCTGACTCTCTCTGCCCCCCCCTTTTTTTTTGCAGAGTATAATAATCAACAGGCTTAGCTGTGAGCCTAAGCAAGTGGGTACAACCAAGCTTGGGAAGATAGTGTCTGTCCATCAGAGGAGGACAATCCTATGCAACACAAGGGTTCCTTAGGTTATAAATTTCCTTAATAAACTATTCTTTATGGTCTAGAGAATGATCTGTGATTGCCACACTTTTGGTTTTGAGTGAGTGAGTTTGTTAACTATGTAGCAAAAAGTAAAAAATAAATGGCCACAGATAGATAGGAAAACGTAAAATCAGGTGTTCAAAACATCCAGCAGAATTCTACTGGGGAAGTCCCATTAAGGCAGTCAACTAAAGTTCCTAATAGAGTCCTAGGCAGAGCAGTGTCCCCTCTGGTTAGGCTTCCAAGTAAAAGAATAAATAGCAAAAGGTAGAGACAATATATCGAATCAGACACAATATCCAGCAGAAGTGAACTGGGGAAGTTGAGGCAGTCATGTGGAGTTCCCCATTGAACTTTCTCTCCATTGCTGAACTTCCCATGACTAAACTTTTTGATTCAGCAGTCACTTTGATATCATTGGGAAAAAACAATAGTAACATCTTTTGGAAATGGTGTACTTTGTATCTGTCCTCAAGGACACAATGTTTTTACTCTTGGGCTGTTTGCTGTTCTTATCCCTTCCTGTTACATATTTAGGGGGGACCCAGTCCATCTCCAGATAAGAGGCCTTGGAGGAAGGACACTTTGTAAACATCCTTGGGTCTGAAATGGAAGTCCCCAAAATGCTTCCAGAGCCAGCTTCTCAGCTCAGACAGTACATATTTACCAATATATGTGCCAAAATGTACATTGCATACATTTTCAGGAAAGTCCACCTACAAAAAATGATTTAAATACACTATTTAGAACAGTTTTCAAAGAGTACAGTGCACTGTGGTTAATCTGCTTGTTTGCCTTGTGTTTTTTATTTCATTATCTTAATTTTTTCTTTCGGCCAACAATATATTTCTTTGGCTCTTTTACCATTAATCTGTGTTTTTGTTTTTACTGTAAGAACATTACAGAGGAAGCTCTTGAAGTAAAGCTGAGCATTGGTGTACTTCTTGCTGAATATCTGCCTATGCATTTTAATACCCAGGATCAGCTCTCTATGTGTACAACAATGCAGTTTTCACACCAGAGGACTGGCATGGCATTCAAGAAATAGCAAGAAGCAGGAAAAAAGATGACCCCTTGAAGGTTGGAAGATTTGGAATTGGGTTTAATTCTGTCTACCATATAACAGGTGCAGTACTGACCTTTTCAGTCTTGATAGCGGAAAATATTTTTGTGCGTGTTCTATCATTTATTAGCTTCAGAGATGGTATTGTTTTAAACCCATTTTTTTTCACATTCTTCTGTCAGTTGGAAGTATGTCAGTAAAGTAGTGTGTTTTCTAAAATTATAATGAGAAGTGTACTAAAGGTTACTTCATCTTAGGATGATACAAGTTAAAGTCATGAGCTTGTGCAATCAGTATAATATTTTATGTGATTTAAAATAGATTTTAAAACAATTATTACTAAGAAAAATTGTTGCATTGTAAATATTTGAGTCAAATTGATTCTTTCAGATTTCCTTGGGCATATTTCCTTTTTTGATATTTCTAAATATCAAAAGATTAAAGAGGAAAGAATATATCATGGTATTTCATAACAGAAAATGAAGATTTGAAGTGGTTCTGGTACATACATTTTCCTTTCACATAAACATACTATTCTTCTTGGGCTTATATATATTTTAAAGATTACTGTGGAATCATGTTTTGAATTTAGAAGTGAAGTTTCTGGTTCATAGGTGTAACAGGAAATAGTTGTATCTCTTGTGTTAACATTTCTAAGAATATATGCCCCTTCTTTTCAGAATCACATCCCTTAGTGCTTACTATAGTTGTATGATAACAATTCTGTATGGAATTGGTCTTGAAGCTGAGTCTTGTAGGAAAAGGGGAGAAGACTTAGCAGGCAGGGCTATGGCTATAGCTAGGTAAGCCATATAACTTACCATTCAAACTGAGATGTGTTTGTGAGCCAAAGAGGACGGTAACACTGAGATTATACTCTGGGCAAGTAGGGCATAAAGTCAGCATAACTATAACTAAATTTCAGTAAATGTGCATTTACATTAATACTGATATTTTACTTAATATTGATCATACTATGTGTTTAAATTATATTGCTATATACAACAATGTAGCTGTTATAAATAAATCACCTTTTGGAGGTTCACTTTCAGGGCTTCACGTTATGGTTTGTAATGTGGAACATGATTGAGAACTGTACAAGTATGGGAGATGGTGATGCAGGAATTTAGAACAGACTGATTGCCCTTCATGTTCAGCTCATTGTGGTTTTGTTTCCTAGTTGACAATGAGCACTTTGATGTGAGGCATGAGCTGGAGGCTCTTCTGTAATCTGAAGATCTGAGAAGGTCATAGGCTATGCATTTACAGTATCAGGAGTTTCTCTGACCTGATTTCAGTTACGGGTCTGTGGTACTGTGTAATGAGAGTACGGACAAGTATGTCCTAGATTGTACTGTTGATGGATTTAGTGGGCATAAGATTTACTGTTTAATATAGCCAAGAATTAGGAGTAAGTGATTGTGACAGTTGAACCTGAAGTTGACAACTGCAGATGTTAAGGAGATGGCTGACTTTACTGAAGTTTCAGGGTTCATGAAGATTAGGGGCTAAAGTCTGCATATGAGACAAAACGTGGTGGACTCACTCTTGGGAAGTCCTCTGAGAGGCACCACGCTGGAGAGTTTCTTTTAGTGTGATAACTCTAACACATTTAGTTCTGCTAATATTGAAATAGTTTGTCTTTAGTTGAGAGAAAGGTGAAGCAGTTGCTATCAGCCCAGGAGCCATGTGGTATGATATGGATCTTTAAGAACTGTAGTTAGGTTCCATGTGAGAATCATGTGCACCTGAGAGCTCACTTCTTACTCACTGTGGGGCCTGTGCTTGCTGGGATGTGGTAAGTTGGAGCAGCCTGCACTGCATTTCTCTCCAGTTGAGTCTTTAATTTTGAGTATAAACTGTAATTCTGTTCTGTTTAATTAGGCTCATGGGGCAGTGGGTGCTATGTATAAATATCCAAATAGTGTTTATATCTTCCAGCTAATGAGCATTTGAAAATATATCATAAATTTTCACAAAACCCATGGAAATTTCTGTAACTGGCTCTTACTAGATTTACTCAAAGAGAAACCCTAATTTCTCATGTTCAAAGAAATACATTATTTTTAAATAATTTTATGGGTCATCTTATTTCACATATAATATTTTGATGGTAATTACAGTTTATTTTAGATGTAATTATAATTGTTCAATACATTTGAGTTGATCAGGTCTCAACTGTGCTTTTGCAGATGTTCCTTGTATCTTCAGTGGTGACCAGATTGGGATGTTAGATCCTCATCAGACACTTTTTGGACCTCATGAATCAGGCCAATGTTGGAATCTCAAAGATGACAGCAAAGAAATTAATGAGCTTTCAGATCAGTTTGCACCCTTCATTGGCATTTTTGGAAGCACCAAGGAAACATTTACAAGTGGCAGCTTTCCGGGGACATTTTTCCGATTCCCTCTTCGCTTACAGCCTTCCCAGCTTAGCAGCAATCTCTACACGAAGCAGAAGGTTCTTGAATTGTTTGAGTCTTTCAGGGCAGATGCAGACACAGTGCTGCTCTTCCTGAAGAGTGTGCAGGATGTGTCTTTACATGTCCGAGAGGTGGATGGGACAGAGAAACTGCTGTTTAGAGTGACTGCAAGTGAGAATAAGGCCCTGAAACATGAACGGCCAAATTCCATCACAATTCTGGGAACGGCTATAAGTAACTATTGTAAAAAGATCCCAAGCAATAGCATCACCTGTGTCACATACCATATAAACATAGTTCTAGAGGATGAGAACACTAAGGATGCTCAGAAGACATCTTGGTTGGTGTGTAACAGTGTGGGTGGGCGAGGGATTAGTAGTAAACTGGATTCTTTGGCTGATGAATTGAAATTTGTTCCAATTATTGGAATAGCCATGTGTTTATCAGGCAGAGATGAAGAAAAAGGAGCAATATCTGATTTCTCAGGAAAAGCATTTTGTTTTCTTCCTTTACCTCCTGGTGAGGAAAGCAGAACAGGGCTCCCAGTTCATATCAGTGGGTTCTTTGGCCTGACTGACAACCGCAGGAGCATAAAATGGAGAGAGCTGGACCAGTGGAGAGATCCTGCAGCCTTGTGGAATGAATTTCTTATTGTGAATGTTGTCCCCAAAGCTTATGCCACTCTGATCCTAGATTCAATAAAACGCCTGGAGACAGAAAAGAGCTCTGATTTCCCTTTGTCAATTGATGTCATCTACAAGCTTTGGCCAGAGGCCAGCAAAGTCAAGGCACATTGGCAGCCAGTGTTGGGGCCTCTGTTTAGTGAACTGTTGCAGAACGCTGTGATCTATTCAATTAGCCATGAGTGGGTCAAGCTAGAGCAAGTGTACTTCTCAGACCTCGATGAAAGCTTGGAATATACAAAATCTGTGCTCAACTACCTCCAGAGCTCAGGGAAGCAGATTGCCAAGGTACCAGGGAATCTGGCTGCTGCTGTTCAGTTCAGCAGTGCAACACCTGTGAAGATGGTGACGCCCGGGTGGGTGCGGCAGGTGCTGAGAAAGTGCGCACATCTGGGCAGTGCTGAAGAAAAGCTTCACCTTTTAGAATTTGTGCTTTCCGACCAAGCCTACAGCGAGCTGCTTGGGTTGGAACTGCTGCCTTTACAAAATGAGAGTTTTGTCCCCTTCTCCTCATCTGTGTCAGATCAGGATGTTGTTTATATCACCTCAGAAGAGTACCCAAGGTAGATACCACCACATATCTCAGATGCTGGCATATCTAAGGGGCTTTTTCCCTGCTCACAGCTAGAGTCCTTTACTTCCAGATCCACCAGGTGTCTGTCTGGATTGTATGGTTAGGAAGGCTTTTCATGAAATGTTAAAAACTACATTTTATATTTGAAAACAAGCATTCTAGCACTTGTCAGTCAAAAAATTATGTAAAAGCTGGGTGTTTGCCACGTGTCTGTAGTCCATAATTACATGGTAGGTTGAGACAGGAGGATCACTTGGGCCTGTAGGACAACATAGTGAGACCCTGTATCAGAAAAAAAAAATTATTTAGGTTGCTATTTTTCATTAACAACACTGAAAATTGATTATAAAGTGCTATTATAACTAGGTAAGATTAGTAATGAATTATCTTGGTGAAATGTAAATTAGAGTACTATATGAAATAACTTTTCATTTGTATTTTTAACACAGTGTCATTACATAGCCCAGACTGGTCTAGAACTCACAATCCTGCTTCAGCCTCCCAAGTGCTGAAATTATAGGTGTGTGCACCATCATATCTGGATTTATTTTTTTTATAGCTGAAGGCTCATACTGGTATTTTATGGACTAAAATTCATTTTATCCTTAGGTATTTAGAGTATTTATGAATTTATATGACATATGATACCTCATTTTTAAAGCCTAGATAATGTTGTGTTTTGATGTGTACATTGTAATTTATGTAAAATGAAATGGCAGGTTTAGCTGGTTTGAAATTTTATTAACCTTAGAGTTGTTAGGAGATTGTAACTGCTGTGTACCTTTCACTTTCTAGGTCCCTTTTCCCAGGTCTTGAAGCAAGATTTATTTTGGATAACTTGAAACCTCACCTTCTAGCTGCTTTAAAAGATGCTGCCCAAACCCGAGGTATTATAGTTATTTGGTATTTTTTTAATCTTTATTAAAATGAAAACAGCTTTTATAAAGTTTCTGTTAATTACCCATTTTGGACCTAGAAATCAGCGAATTCATATGGCCCAACCTGGTAGAATTGTTACATTTTAAGATGTGCCAGGAGCCTTTCTAGCATCTGAAGGAATGCCCCACCTGTCATGGTTTGATGGAGAGTATTTACAGAAGCTTATCTTAACCTGTACAACACTTTACGTTGTTTTCAGAGCTTGTGAGTTCTTTTCTGATCCTCCTAGCCTCAATCTTGGAGCATGTGTGATAAATGATGAGGAAAATGATTATTAGTTAAATTTCATAGATGAAAGATTAAATGTTCAAGGTCTTCAGATGAGTATCAGTAGATCAGGTCTTCCACCTTGTCTTCCTTGTTTCACCCCACCATCCCCACAGTTACAGGTGGTACTCTGGGTGATCATATCAGACATCATACAACTGCTGAGAAATGTGGACAATCAAACCCCATAACACTGTCAGGGAAGGAGACTTGGTGCCTAAGAAAGTCATAGATGTCCTTTATTGGAAATTATTTTTGCAAAACAACAATAATTTGGAGGGAAAGCACCATGGTTCTGACTTTAATCCTTTCAACTTTGGCAGCTGTCCCTTCTCTTAAACTGCTGTCTGGACCTTTCCCAAGTTCAATATTTGCCTCCAAATTTCTGAATTTTTCTCACTGGCAAGCATATTGTTTGAGAAGTGTCTTCTGTAGCATGTGTTCTTTTCCTTTCAAGGAAAAGTTGCTAATATTTACACAACTTATTACAATGTGCATGAAAGTATTTGTGTTTGGAATTTGTCAGGAAAATGAGGTTAGAGTTAAAGTGAGGCTAAGGGAATGAGCCTATTAATGTTACTTGTCACAAAGATTTGTGCTTATGAGAGTCACAGTGAGAGGTTTCCAGCATTCACATGACTCATTTGATATGAATTGTCACCTTCAAGAAAGCCTTTTGGGGTGCTTAAACATGGATTTCCCTCCTCCTTTTGCTTTTTAAGTCAAGTCGTATTATATTCTTATTTAAAAGCTTGGGGGCTGTGGACATAGGTCAATCCGCAATGTTTGCCTTGTAAGCTTGAGGACTTGAGTTTGATTTTCAGAACTCATATATAAAAAAGTCAGGCGCGGAGGTGTCTGTGATCCAGCACTAGGGTGGTAGGGACAGGAGCTTGCTGGCCAGCCAGCCTAGCCTAATCAATGAGCTCCAGGCCAGTGAGAGTCCCTGTCTCAAAAAATAAAAGCTGGGTACTTTTGAGGAACTACACCTGAGATTGTCCTCTGGCCTCCACATCGACATGCCTACATGTGCTTGTATTCCTCCACACACATGTGCACAAGCACAAACGCACACATATAACACAAATAAATAACAAAAGCTTGGTGTTGAAGCCAAAGTCCACATGTACAAGTGTGCTTATGAGGAATTAAGCCTATTGCAGTTGTGCAAATTGAACTACATGCATGTGACCTGGACCAGGAAACAATAAGTAACAACACCAGAGTCCCTTTTGCCTTTTCTAGTCCTAGCACTCAAGGGGAACCATAGTTCTGGCTGAGGTTAACTTTGTTGGTTACTGTCTGCATAAAAGAAATCATACGGTTATACTTTATGTCCTGGCTTTTTAACTTACTGTTAAAGGACTGGAGTTCTTTAGTGAGATTCATTCACCTTGCTCATTGTGTGTAGCTATAGACAGCTCATTCATTGCTGTACTGTAGATAGAAGGCCAACAGAGCAATGCTCCTTTGGCTCAGAAATTGACAAATGTCCTGTGGTACTGAGCAAGTCCATAGTTTGCTTCTTTAGCCCTGAATGGGTTGGGGAAAATACTTGGTGCTGGTTTCTAGGAGTGAGCTAAATTTACAGGTTAACAGGTAATTCAAATATCTTTATAATGGTGAGACTTCCCATTTCATGTCTTCTCATTTTCTTATGTGTAATTATGACCAACTGTGACCTTTTCTATTGAATCCCAGAATTAAGTGCAGTAGGTCACAGTCTAGTGATAGATAGCACTGGAAAAACCACAGGCTCTTTCTTTATATGGGTCCTGGCCTTACTAAACAGAGTAGAGCGTAGAGTCTGTTCTAACAAATGTACGGAGCATTTTCAGATTCTGTCTCTTAATTAACTACTCAGCTAAGTCTGTTTAGCTTTCGAGAGGTGTGGAGTGTATGTGGGATATTAGTGAGTATGGACAAACAGAAAACAAGAGTCTAAGGATTATTGAACTCCATATGATCAGAAACATACACAGGCAACTACACTTGACATGTTTTGCTCTGAATAATGGTGCACCATTGTTTGAAGCCACCGTAGTCTGTTGGTGACTGGTAAAAACTCCTGCCCAGTCTTCAAAGTGCTGTTGCATGATTGGAATGTGATGCTTTTTATCCCAGCCATGGCTGTTTCTAATTGTGTAGTTTTAAACACTCTTGTTGTTTGATTATTTTATTTTTGTTGGAATCACATTTAGACTCCTTTGCCAAATATAAGTTGCTGCTTGTATTTCCAGTGTTTACTTCTGCTGGCCTTTTTCAATAGCTTTTAAACGTATTTTATTTATTTATTTATTTTTATATTTTATTTATTATTTTTATTTTATGTGTATGCATGTATTGCCTGCATGAATGTAAGTGCACCCATGTTGTGCAATGC